TTTATATATTTAATTTTTTTAAAATTTATTTTTTAAGTTGTAGAGCCTCCATATGTTTGCAGTTGCTATGAGTATCCTTCGATCGTATCAGACTGACTTAACTAGAAGATGGGTGAAATTACAGTCTGATTCATTAGAATAGAGAACTTGTATTTAGTTGCGTGTGCTGTAAATGATTATCAGTTTGTATTAGAAAGTAAATATTGTTTGCTGCTAAAAGATAAATATGTATGTAGATTCATATTTTTGGAAAGTTCCAGTATTCTCAAAAGTAGATTCAGGAAGGTGATTGAAATTTGTACGATCATTTTAAAACACGAGCTTTAGTTAAAGATGTTGGCACTGACATTATACAGTTTCCTAGTAATATTTCTAAGTTTAACAATGAATAAAATCTACCTATTACTGAGAGTGAGATTTCCAAAGCCATTGGGACCCAGAAGAATACTTTTGATAAACGTGTCTATTTTTTTTTTTGTTTTTTTTTTGTTAACGTTTTCAACATAACATTTCACAACAGTGTGATCAGTTTTCACTGGTAATGTTGGTGTTCGCGAAGGTGACAGTGTTTCACCCATTTTGTTGTTGTTGAATAAAGTAGTATTACAATATGCCCTCGGTGACTTCTTCTGCATATTATCACAACTGTAACATTGATACGGTTGCATGCATCTATGTACTCGCATAAAAGTTCAATTTAATTCGCCACATCGATGAGCAGCTTCTTATTTAGCATAGCTGGCTGATTTCGTCATTGTATATGCTTATTATAGTTGTTACATTGTATTATTGCTTTGTTCAGCCCAGCTCAATATTTTCACCAGAGTCAATAGTGAGGAAAGTTTACGGGTATAGAGTGATATTCCCAAACATATTACAAAACTTATGCCACGTGTGGTCGGTAGCAAACCAAGTCCATGCGCGTAAATGTCACAAAATTTTATCAACATTTTGCAGATGTCTCAGATTATTTTATGTGTATCATTGTGTCACAAAAATTATGTCTGTTTTTATGTCGACCTCGGGAAGATATTCTCACATGATTGTCTTAGTATTAAAGCATAACATCATCGGATAGGACAAGATTATCCACGCTCCGTTCAAGATCATCAGTGGCTGACAATTTGCTTCTAGGCGACGAATGATGCTCGTCAGTAAAATTCTTGAATAACATGTCAGATTTTCCGCCAGCGATGTGATCATGTACAGACTATCCCATGTTATGGGTATATTCAACAACAGTTGATTTTTTCTGGATCCAGCCGGGCTAGTGATTAACACACGAACGGAGTTGGAAAATATATCACCATGCATCGGTGGCCTGTGATTTTTCTGCGTAGAGAAGTCAATGGCGTTTAATGAGCTCGTGACCTTTTTCTCAGAAAACACCGCAAATTCAACTCGTCAAACACGTAATGGTCCAGCTTTAATCGCTGAAACTTGCATCCGGTGTAGAGCAAAGACGCCATCTGTTTTGGAAGCAAGTCATTGGCGTTGATGTCCTTGTTGCATTAGCTAAGCTGCTCGGAAAATACTGGAGCAAATACACATGTGAAAATCATCTCTGGCTCTCTCCGCGATCAAGCTACACTGCTAGCTATGCGACTAGATTCTAAAAATCGACCTGAAGTTCGAAAAACTCCTAACTTTCCTCGCATGTTACCGATACGATCTTGCGTATCAAGTATAAAGTGGTATTTATGCTATGTTTCCCTGATTACACTTGGAGAAAGAATTGTCAGATGGATCGTTAAAGAAGGCATGAATGTTAAGATTGCTCAGGAAAACAAACCTTCTAAGGATCTTAAGGTCCGCACATGGTTGATAATTGATTGTGGATAAAGTTTATCCATTGGAGGTAAAATATTTTGATATAATGATTAAACTTTAAGAAAAGCTTAGATTCCGAGCGGACTTTACCCTCAATATACTACAGTCCTCGCGGTCATGGTAAGGGTGAATCAGCCGTTGAAACGTTACCAAACGCGGCAAGAGCCATCCATGGGATTGTTTGAGTATTGTTAGGTAAACAAACGTCGTGGACAATATATTTACCATGAAAGGCTTACGGTGATTGGTTTAAAGTGTGGATGCCCAACGACGTTCACGTGGCTGATCTTTTGGTTTTTTTTTTTCTACATGATTGTAACATAGACGTTCTTGTAAGTATGCGTTAACCATTGTAGCTATTGACACTAGATAGAAGAATGCGGAACCGTTGATGTCCAAGGATTCAACTTATGTTGAAGATGTGCTTAAATGTATTTATGCACATTCTCCGCAAACATGTCCGCGGCTGTTACAGGTCGATCGAGGTAAAGAATTTCTCGAAGCTGTTACTGCTTTGTTTACAAGACCTAACATCTTGTTCGTCATGGACATGACGTGACGGCATACACTGTGATTAGGCCACTGTGGAACGATTTAACCGTACACTTTTGGAACGATTATTCGGACATCAGCACAAACCACGCGGCTTCGATCAGTCATAGAAGCGCTCAATAATGGAACCACATTCACAATTTAGTCAAATTCTGTTGAGGCGATTCGGCAAGAGATTTTCAACATAAATTCACATAAGTTGTTTTCACGCCAAGCTGTGTTAATCACTCTCTAAATAAAATTGGTTCGATGTCTGTATGCACCATGGAAGTTAAAAAGGCGAACAGCACGTGCTACTGTCCCGGTATGGTCTATGTATTTACTATTTCGGCCTGGATTGATTTTCTGTGGCAGCCAACACGTTACCATTTGGTGCTATGATCAAATAGACGAGGGGCCCCGAGTGGCCGAGTGGTCTAAAGCGCTGTCCGTTACGGATCACTGCCATCTCACCTCTGTTTGCGTGGGTTCTAGTCTAGGATTCGGCTAATGTAGATATGTGAGAAAGCTTGCCAGTAGCTTCTCGTGGGTCGGTGGTTCCCCGGTTTCTTCCTCCACCATTAATACTGGCCGCCATGAATAGCCTATCGTGTGCTGAAAAATGGCGTTAAGCCCAACAACAACAACAACAACATCAAATAGACGACGTCCACCAAGCAGATCATTTCTGCGATAAGAATTGCATGTCATTCCCGGAAATATATAACTGCCACGAAGGTCTGTTTTAATACGTTAAAACTCAACTTGAGGCCATAATTCACAAAGATGCAATGTTTCTTTGACCAGATCCGATTTGATGTGTGAATTTGCATCTCTCACGCAAGCATTCCACATACATATCGTTCCGAAGATCATTCGTGACAATAACACGGGAACATTTTTCGCTTTTTTATGATTTTAGCGCCCTGCGGTCCATCTCCATCGTGTGCATTTTAGAACGTAGTCTCATATACTTTTCGATTGGCTTTCCGGCACATTCAATCTTGGACTTACCAACAGTCATTTTTGGCATTACTAAACTGTGAATAATTTTTTGGATAATCAGTTGTCAAATTCATCTAGCAAACATGGTTCTGCCATGTCCGTGTATGCATCAAAAGCGAATCTGTATTCGTATAGAGCATTTTATTTTAGCACAATAACGCGGTTTTAATTCATACATCAGTAGATTAGACAAATCCAAGACGGACGCGCCAACATAGTTGGGTTTCTTCAACTTTAGCTTAGCTTTCTTACTTTGAACGACTATGAGTCCGCCGTCAAATAACTAGTCTAACTCAAATGTCGGATAGTCAACAAGCAGCTTATCTTTTTGACTATCACGGGCGAGGTCGACACGAATTCATTTCCGCAAATTAAACATCCTCGAGCTTCAGTACATCCGGTCGCAGATACAGAGAATGATAGTCGCCAAGGTTTTCACAATCAAACGCGCACCAACCATGGTTTGCTTATGCGTAGTCGTTGGCGGAAATATCTTCACTAGCTATTGACGAATAAAACGCTTTTATTAGTGGCAACTGAGTCTCAGCAAAATTTTTCTAATCACTTAGGTTTTCGTAGGGATTGGTTCCTTTACGAGTATGCAAGATACCAATAACACCACGTTGTCGACGAATAATTGTAAAACGATCAGTACCGTTTGCTGAGAAGTTGCCTGCCAGTTTACCGAGAGAGGATTTAGAAACTAACGACTGAATGAAATGCAATTGGAAGAGCGTTGAAATAATATTTTCCCATCTTGTTTGCGATGACTTTTTTTTGGTGCATTTGACGCTACTGCTGCTGATTACACAATTAAGTTGCTTTGTTACCCACACAGTCCATGAAGCATCACTGTCATTCGTGTTTTATTAGGATGAATTCTCAGCTGTAGATTGCATGCGCAGTGTTCAGCTCTTTTGTACGCGTCAGTGAAATACCATTGGTTATTTTGTTTTTAATTGGTGGACCCGAAACATTTTCATTAAGATCCACCAGCAAATTGTGGAAAACTTTTAAATGTCATCAAGGATCATTAAGGTATCTGCAGGTGAGACTAATTGTTTCGATTTATAAATATATCTACTGTGTTACCGTGTCCTTGCAGCGGAGTAACATTAGCGGCTCAGTTTTCCAGTTGCATCGGATTATTGTGCAACAAAACCCACATGTGGCTTATTCAGCAACTTGTGTGGTCTTCGATTGAACCTTTTGGACATCCACAGGAACAATGAAGCCTTAAAAGTTAGCGTAGATGATACACGGACCTGAGGTTTTTCACTTATTCCACCTCAGCAAGTGTCATGGTCGTGAATCAGCAGTTTCGTGGTCACTAATTGCAAGCAAAGGAATGTAGTACCATGGTACTAACTAGCTCTGTTCAACAACTGGAAAAGATTTTTATCCTAACGTAATGAGAGTGCGACATTGAACCATTCATGTCCTTTACCTACAGTAAAACAACCTGAGTCCACCTTGCGAATTTTTACTTTCCACACGTGAGAACAGTGTAGACGTATTAAAACCTTTGTCCCAAGTGTACATCGTAACAGTAATACCAGGGTTGAATCTTTAAACCTTTTGAGTATGCCCTCAGTAACCTATACCTAAAATTGTATACTACAAACTTGAATACCGCTCGGGTGGCTTAGTGGTTAGAGCTTCACCCTCTGATGCGGGAGGTGGTGGGTTCGAACCCAGGCCGAGTCATACTAAAGACTTTTACAATGGTACAAACTGCTGCCTCGTTTGGCGCTCAGCATTAAGAGGTTAGCGTTAAGACTGGTCAGCCTGGTGTCAGGATACTGTGACTGGGTAAGACATCATGCCACATGTCTGCGGCATGATGCCCCAGTACTAGACATCACTATAAACTGTAATACTGCACACATCGTAGCGATATGACTGAAATTTTGTTAAAGCTACGTTAAAAATCTAAATCACACACACACACGCACACACACACACACACACACACACACAAAACAAGTTGAGTTCACCATTGTATTGCTGATATTTTCGCGACTTAGTTTGTTATCGCTAACCGGATGTAACGCGGATGCGAGCGCCTATTTAAAACATCGGTTGTCATCATTTTTCATATTTGTCACTGACAGGTGCATAACATTGGCGTTGGAATATAATTAGACCTCCGGAATGCACGTTTGGGGAAGTATGTAATTGAACTTCCACACATATGTCAAGAGTCCATCTAGTTGGTGTATTTTCCTAATGTCTAGAGAATCTTTACAAAACCTTATGAGTTCATCATTGATGGCACCGGTATATTTACTGTTTAAGAGCTCACACGAGCACTGCTGTGAATGCATGGGGTAGTGATTTTGACCTATCCTTTTCTGATGACTTATAATTAAGCGGTATAACCAAATGCATACCACAAAGAAGAATGTCCAGAATAACTTCGGAGGTACCAGAGCGCTTCAGTGTCGATACGATTTCCGGACTTATCTTTAATAAAAGTTTTCTTGTGTCTTTACTTGGGTGTTTCTGGAATCAAGAATTGCAAAATAATCTTGAAAATCAGCACGACGTTTATGTAATTTAAATTCTGGAAAGTGGGCTCGTTGATGATCATACTCGACTGCTATAATGAAATTGTTTCATCGGCTGTTTTGTTCATCCCCGACTATATGTGCTATTTCCACCCACTTGACTCATCGAAAAATTATAATACTTAATCGTGCCGAGGCTCAGCTAAGCTGACCCACTGACACGTTTCAACCACGAGAGCTAATAACGCAAGTGTATCAGATTTTCTTGCATCTCTTTATACTTTTATGTTGCACTCGTTTCTTGATTGTTTTAGTTGTTGTACTGTTAACGTTTCCGTTACAGTCATATGTAGTTTATCTGAGGGAAGTTGTTTCAAAAGAGGCTGTGATTCGTTAGCAAGCCCTAGTAACTCAAATATATCAGCTTTTCGCACGCTGCTTGGTATTAGTATCTCACGCACTTTCGCTAATTGACTTCGTTTAATGAGTTAACATGTTGATCTGCTAAGGAAACTAATTATCTAACTGCATATTCCATCCATAAATTTAAAACATTTTAATTTTTTTTAACTTGGATCAGAAATGCAATCCCTTAAATTATGACTACCATTTCACTAACTTATTTATCTTTTCCATCTGTATCTTGCCTCGACGTTCTAGGATTTTTCCTCGACGGTGTTAACATCGTCGCTTGTTTTTGTAACGATTATATAAGCGAATGGATCTTCCTCGTTGGCAAGGCTGATTACGAGACTTTACCCCGGTACCACATTTAGGGCAAAGCCGAGCACTAAGATCAACACGTAACGCGAGCAAATGCGATTTACAGTATTTGTAATGGCATTATTTTGCCGAACATTTCATATTTTCTAAGGCATTTACCTTTGCAATAATGTAGATGGTTTAAAAAACCGCATGCTTATACACTCATTGAATATTAGGGTTTTCACAAATATTCTTAGTTGATAGTATTTGAATGCACAATACGTTTAGTAATTTCCAAAACTCGGGGTTGTAAGTAGTATTGTTTTTTCCAAGCCGCATCAACTGAGGATTACTGTCAGATATTTTCTGTTTGAATATGATTTTCTTTAGTTCAGTCATTCGCCATATCACTGTACCCTGATCAATACAATTATTTTACCGACTTATAAATGACCCCGTTTGTATGAAGACGTTAGATTACATACAAAATAATTTGCACTGTTTGTATATCGACTCCATTGTGTGATTGTATTTGCACTGAGTTTTCTTTGGCAAAACTCATGATATTACATTTGCCATTTTTTTTAAAAAAAAAACTCGTGTTGTAACGGTTTTATATAATCACATTAATGTGCAATTTATATTTCCATATATTATAATGTTGAAGGCATCTCCTTTTCTCAAATTAGTTTATTCTAAAGGGATCGTGTCTGCTGCTACTGTATTCACTGATTGTTTCAATGTCATCACCAACTTATTCACGATATACATTGGGTGGCACAGTCAACGTGCCTCATCGTGTCCACATTGTTATTGTTCCAATAGAATTCATAAGTTGATTAATTTTATCAAGTGCTCTGGATACGTATTTGAAACGTCACATTCTTTTTACCCTCGTTGACAAATCTTTATGATGTATTTAAGCGAAATAGCCATTTAATATTTTTTCTGTCGTTAGAAACACTCAGGTACTCTGCTTTCACTAATGGATATGCTTAGAACTCATAAATTATTTCAGAACACTATGCATCAATCTGTGAAGTTTTTATTACACACACACACACACACACACACACACACACACACACACACACACACACACATTACGGCAATTATGTCAAATCCCATTCTCACTCTGTATATTGCAACACAGAAAATATCAGCAGAATATTTTATATACATTATATTAGCGATTTAATAATCTTATTCTTGCATTGAATTTATTCGCTCATAAAAGGATTCATACATAGTATAGTCAGAATCAATAATAATATATTGGCCTGAATCAGGCACCTAGCAAACTTTGCTTTTTGCAAAATTGTTTACAAAACCAGCTGATGTAATAAATACTTTCCCCAAAAGAAGTATATTAATTTTATTCTCAAAAAATTAATAATGGCTACATAGTTATACGCTATCCGAAGTTTGATACGTATAATCTTTCACGCTAGCGCTAGAATTACTTTTACTACTTAAAGTTTATCCATGCAACATACACTCGCGTTAGACAATCGGGGTAAACGTAGTAAATTCATGAGGTATAGAGGACGTGCTACTGAAAATCAAAACGTCTGTTATGACGTTACTAAAGAGCTTGTCAAATTTATCTCACATGCTTATGGTAGTTTGATTGCTTTTAGTTATGTAGCTCATATTTTGTTATAAATTCAGATGTTGGAGAATTTTTAAAATTTTTCTTGATATTTTAAGTTGACGAATCTGTAATATTTGCTCTATCAGCTTCTGAGCTGCAAGTAGCTTTAAATGTTATGCTCTTTTACTGTTTTATACCAGGAAACGTAATGCAAATATAGCAAAGAGAATGGTTGTAGTATTTTCCAATTCAAGAGGAAATGAAGTTTTAATGTTGACCCACATTGTTAAGAACTTGAAATTGTAATTGATTTTCAATACCTGGTTCTTGTTGTGTTTTTTTTGTACGTAAATATTACAAAGCGAAAGCCAATCTTGTGTTTGTAAGTAAAGCTGTCAAAGTGAGAGCGTCTTGTTCAGCTAACTGTGAAAGCTATGTTCAGAGTTTTAAAAGAACAACTGGAAACTGAGTTTATCAGTCGATAATTTTGATGATATGACTTTGCCAATATTATTTTATGGAACAGACGGAGGTAACGGAATTAAATTTTTTATATCATTTAGGAACTTCATATACCGTTTTGTAAAACTGTTTTCAAGATGATCAAATCTACGCATAATACCATTGTTTATGTTGAATTCAAAAGAGTCATAGTGTCTCAATAAAGGCGAGAATGACTGAATGTTTTTGGAAAATTATTAGTGGAATGAAAATTACAATATTACGCTTTTTGATATATTGTGCCATTTTCATTTAAGAATTATATATATATATATATATATATATATATATATATATATATATATATATATATATATATATATATATATATATATATGCATAATTTAAATATATCTAAGGTCATCGTTACTTTACAAAATAGTAAATTTTACAATAATGGCACTATGAAATTGTCTCTGTGTATCAATTATACAATGTTTAAAAATGAATTTGATGAAATTATTTGACTAAACAGCCTCAAGACTTGGTAACATTGTTATCATTTTCATTTTGGTAGTCACAAAGATTTAAAAGAATGTTTTAGAGGTTTAAAAAACTATTTAAAAACTATTAATTGGTATGAGTGTCTGAGTGGCTCTTTTCTCTCTCTCTCTCTCTCTCTCACACACACACACACACACACACACACACACACACAAACAGGGACAATTTTCTATATTTCTTTTTGTACTTTCTTCAAGAAGGAAAGAGCTGTATTTTTGCATATGAAATATGCTCACTAAATCAAACACGATCAGTTTTGAATCTCATGAGCAAGAAATGTAGTTTATACTAAACCCTAAGCAGAATTTATTTTACATTCGTACTGTCAGACTTCAAATATTGAATTCGCCTTGTTTTTTTTTTCTTTACACTGTACGTCGTTGATTTTTTTTACACGTTTTATACAGTCACTTGTACTTGTGTCATTTTAATATAATCTAATGCCTTAACTATCTTGAAATAGTACATGTAACAAGAACGAGAGAAATATCGGATTTCATTGGGATATGATCAATTGACTGGTCTGCAGATTTGTTTAAACAGTGCCAACAATAACGTGTAACGATCACTAGTTAATGAACATAAGCTATTAAGGCAGGGGTTAATTTTATAGTCAGTATGACTTGTGGTATCGGCCACAACGTCATCAAGGTAGACAGTTGAAATGTGATTAAGAATATTTTAAGAGCTTTTGTTGTGCTAAACATTTATCTGATTTTCATCATTTTAAATCAGTACGAAACTTACTGATTGGTGACGTCAAAACATAAAGGTGCACGATTCACTTACAAGAGCTGATACATTGTTTTGCATGTTTGGTGCTGTTAATCTATTTTTGTTGTAGTAGTGTCTTCATATGAATCGTAAATGTATTCGTGTATTACCGTAAATAC